TCAATTTGAGCCCAATCTTTCAATGAATACACTTCCTCTTCTGTAAATACACCTAAAAAGACCTCTTATTAAATCATATGTTCACACTAATGCACTAGTTCATACATGAAAAGTTGCATGAATTATAGCACATTTTATTTTTGATAGTTCTGTAAATAGAATTAAAGAGGAAACTTTAAAGCCTGCAACATACTGGATATTTAGGTAATTAGGCACTGAAGACTTGCAGCATAGATTAGTAAACTAAAATATGTTAATGAACTGGATGACTGCAAGGAATTTATAGAAATATTTTTTCTTTCTAAAGGACCAATGATATGTTACACCTTAAACAGATCCAGAAACATTTAGCTATTTGAATATTATCCAGATCAAAAGACTTACAATACCAATAAATAAAACCAATTGTAAACACACACTAATATCCTGTCAAAATAACCATTTTTTACTAATAACTTCCATCAAGCAATAAATAAGAATTGTATATATGACAACTGATAAGCAACATAACAATAAACAACTCTACTAAACCTGACATTGCATTACACCAGTCATGTCAATTGCATGTAAGTCATTCTTGCACTTACAATGATAGATAGCAACCTACTCAACCTCATCATGCCTCACAAAAAAACTAAATATCTATTACGTAACACGGTTGAAAAGTAATCACTCCTGAACAATTAATTCATTACTACAACGTAATCTCAAATTCATGAGTTGCGCCATGTTGATCGGTCACGTGACATAAGGTCAAAGTGGACAAGTCGGCAACATCTTTACACTCTTACTCAAAATATGTCACTGGAGAAATATTATACCGTTCAAAATACGAAATCAGCAACACTACTACATCAATTTCATGAAAGTCTAAGTGCCTGACAACTAGTTATTGAATGTATAATGTGACCTGCATCGACCTGGTTTTCTGATGTGAAAGTAAGCAACCACTTGTGTGAAATACTTCTCACTCTTCTCGTTTACGAATTTCAGCAACCTATTCATGATCCACTTCCTGTCACAACATTCAGGGTTTCAAAGAAAAGCAGATTCTGCAAGTATGTCACTAACAAGAGCATGAGTTTCGAGTTATTCGGAAAAGTGCGTTGAAACACTCAATGGGAAGCACACCAATGGCGGAACTCGGCTGATGCATCAGATCAGGCGTCATGACCTGTGAATGACTCATATGTAATCGACAATCAGGTCTAGGTACACTCATGTACGAATAAAGAGGTGCTCAACAACTTACACAATCCGAATACATTGATAATTCCTAATATTATTGTTCTTGCACGATACACTGGCGTGCTCACGAGGCAACAAAGATGGCGTTTGGCGCATGCGCAGTGTGGTGTCCCGCCACGACCGCGACTGCCTTCGCTCGAAAGCCGGTCGGGACGCACATGAGGCCATATTTTATATTCCTACATTTACTCCTAAAAGTTCACAATGAAATTAAGATATGACTTCGCTAAAGTAATTGGGCATATAGAATCTACGTGTTTAGCGTAACGAAAGCCCAGATAGGATGAGATGCAAGATCTTTGCTGCAGCCTGGGCGAAAACGGAATTCCCTTCTACCGCCCTCTCGTTTCCGTCGCACCACCTTTTCGCGGCTTCCGAAAATGGCCGCTTTAGGGAACGTTCGCTGCCTCAAATGAGCGACATCGCGTGCGAATATGTGTGATTCAGATACGTTTTTCTTCATCACCAGTAAGTCACACGAAGAGACAAGACAGATGGTCAGACTATTAGTTTCATGCTGTCGGTAATCGAAGTATTTAAGGCAGAAAGACCATATTGTCCTATGTTGTCCTGTGGGGGAATTGTGGGAGGTCCTGATGCATGTAAACAAAGATTATTTATCCTCATTCCACCACGTAAATAAATAGCTAAATCCCACTTTTCCCACCGATCGTAAATCAGCAGTATCGCCGCCTTTTGGGAATACTTATATGAAAGGTGAAACAGGGAAATGAAGGTTCTTATTGGCCAGACACCTTTGCTTGTGTCACCAGTTGGGTGTTCCTCGGCCTAAAAACATTTGGGTGGAGAAACAAATTGCAAATATTCATGTTAATGTAACTTGTATATGATAAGACAGATCACGAGAAGCAGACTCATCAGTGCCCTTATCTTTACTTTAATAAATGTATAGATATTTGTAAATCATCTGATGGACACACCTTATACATGGAAATGTTTGGAAATAAAATGTGTAGTCAGTGATGATACAGGGAGTAGTTTTATATTTTTGTTAAAGAAATCTAAAATTTTGATATTTAATCAATATGTGAAAGCAAGACAGATGTAGAAGATGCTGCTTTGTTGAAATTACATTTTATCAGCATTATAGTACTGTTCAGTATTTTCATGTCATGTAATCTCTGAACATTTACCACATTCAATTATGGAAGTAAGAAAGTGTAATCAGGGTAGATATGAAGAGAAATCCAGGTATATAAGAAATTGATAAGTAATATCCTAAGGTTTCTTTTGTCAACAAGCACAATTTTGTAATTGTCATGGTTTAAAGATTGTATGTGTTTGAAAATGCAAACTGAACTTCAATAGTTTTACAGTATTTACTCAAGAATATACTCAAGGTAGTTATTTTGCTTAAAAAGTAAGAACACAGTGGGCAAAAGATTGATTAAATGTGTTTTTACCTTAAAATTCATGTTTGATTATTCAGTTATTGGGCTCTATTCTGCTGTGCTTTTCATAGATAAGAGGTGTATAGGACAGGATATTAAACTCTTGGGATCCTGCACTGTCCTGCCAGCCCAGTATAGGCATTGTTTTCTCAACATTGGCAAGGATGGTGGGTTTGCCATTGGTGCCTCATCACATTTGAAAAGATAGAGGAGTGCTTTCAGATAGCTATTGTGAGGGCCTTATCACAGAAAAGCAAGTAAGTATTTATTAGGAGGTGTTTTCTCCTGGGAATGTAACTGACACTGTTGTCAGCATTGTGAAAGAAGGGTGTATGGCACTCCAGACCATGTGAAAAAAAAGAAGGGAAGTAAACTGAAAGGAAATTTAAAGGGAAGTTATATTTGAAAAGTAAAAATATCCACATTTGATATTGTAAAAATATGGCTCACATTAGGAATGGACCAGTGGTGTGATGAATGTTACTTCTTTTTTATTTTGATAGATTTTTATTATGAAATTCTCATATGACTTTATAATTACTGAATATGTGCGTAGAGTGACAAAAAAATCTTGTCATGAATTGAAGCTTCAAACCTGTCTTACCTGTACACGTTCAAAACGGAATTTGAAATATGTTTGACGAGTTTTGACTATGACTGTATATATAGACAGATATTCATATGCATATTTGTTTATAAATTGTTTTATAGCTTCTATTGCATGTGTCTTTTGACAAGATATGGCATGAAGATTTGCACAGAATTAAATTACTCTTTTTTCCACAGTCAAGTTCATATATATATATGTGTGTGTGTGTGTGTTGACATTTTATTGAAAAGTATGCTGAGAAACGAACAACATAAAAGAAATATAGCAATAATCAAAAGTAAAAGTAAAATCTTTAGTATTCTGTTTTGCACTTATTTTAATTAGTGTTTTAAGTTTGGATTATCAACAAAAAAATAGTGGATTGTCTGAGATGGAATGGAGCATCATGTGCTATTGGCACCTTTTTTCTTCTAACAATACATCAGTTTTGTTTAAAACTTTTATTATTCACCATGAGTCCCAGCCCCCACCCCCAGCTCACTGTCTAGGCATTACTTTCTTTTAAAATAAAATCAACCTGATGGGCATAAAATTATGTTTCTTGGCTGTTGATTTGAAGTAAATTGTTAAGATGAGAATGTGCTTTATGTTTGCATTTTAGTTATATAGTGTTAAAGTATGAACCTGTTTAATTTTCAGCTTTTTTGTGTTAATGTTTGCATTTTCCTGTTGCATACAGGCCTACATTATCCAGGATGGGAGTGGATAATTTTATTTTATTTGTTTCCAACCACTTCCGAAATTTCATTTCCTTCCAATATTAAAGTATATGATTCATTTATCAATATGGAACTTAGGAAAAAATGCTGTATAAGACTTTTACTTATTCATTCTTTTCTCCTTGAAACCATCTTCAAATCAAACACTTGACCTGTTTGACCTTGTTTTCCCCCAATATCTTGAATTTTTAAGGGGGAAATATCTATTTATATTTCTAAGCCTTATTGATTTTCATTTTGTAAACATTGTCACCATTATTAGATTATTGTCTATATAGTAATTGTAATAAGAATATACCCACCCCCTAAAATAAATTAAAGATTTTAGCAATGAGGCTTATAGGTGAGATCGGTAATTGACTCCATGGTGACTAAACTTAATGGATTAAATCACAATTTTGATCACACTATATTGGGTAATTCTTGAACTTTGGACTGCATCTTCTTATGCACATGCACCATAACAGTCATGGGACCCACAGCAGGTTTATCCTTGAGAGAAGGGGTTTTGTAGCCCTGCCTTTCTGCAGAGTGTTTTCTGTAGCTAACAGTGATGTTTGGTGTTCTTTAATGGTATTACCTTAGTTTCTCTCAATATCCATGTGCCAGGTGCTGTTCATCATTATAATTATTATTACTACTACTGTTACTATTGTCACTTTGTTATTATTGTAGTTGCTACTATTACTATTATTTGTAGTAATGTTGTAAATATTACTAATAGTCTCCTTTTTACAATAGACTACATTTTTCCCCACAGGAACAAACCATGAAGTGCAAGGTGACAAGCTCGGTCAGCCATGCTAAGGTCAGAATGATTGCTATTCAAAGTATTATCTTATATTGCAATGATTCCTGTCATGCAAGAATTCATTGTTTGCTATGGTAATGTTTTGTATAATCAGATTTTATAATGTCAGAAGTAGATTGATATTGTTGATAATCTATTCTTTAAAGATATCATGGTTGTTTGTAATATTGTTTTTGTCAATATAATGTTTTGTATATTTA